ACAATTATCAACTATCAATCTTTGTTCATTGCTCAGCAACATCTGACAGCCTCTGGTCATCTTGGAAGACTTGGATCCCAGGGCAGTTTTATTTCCTGAGTTTCCCCTACCCAGTGCCCTCTCGCCCTTGGTTTCCTTTGCCAACTAGGCCCCATCTCCTCCTGACTCTATATTCTGAAGCACCTCAGAACCCAGTCCTCCGTTATCTTCTCTACTGGATTAACTCTGTAGGTAACTTTTTCCTCCAGTACCATGGCTTCAAAGACCACATAAATGCTGAGGACTCTCAGATTTATACTTCAGTACTAATCTCAACTCTAGGCACATGTATCCAACTGCTACTTAGTATCTCCATTCAAGTGGAGCACCTCAAATTTAACAAATTTAACATTTGCTCTCCACCCCAAAATATTTCTCCTATAATCTTTCACATCTAAGTGGCAACTCCATCCTAATTGCTCAGGTCAGAAACTTAGTTTCCCCTGACTCTTTTCTTTCTTATACCCCACATTCAAGCAATCAGCAAGCCCTTCAGCATATACCCCCAATCCAATGATATCTCATCACTTTCATCAAAATCAGCTCGTCCAAGCCTGGATCATTGTGACAACCTCTACCTGGACTTCCTTCTACTCCCCCTGCTCCCTACAGTCACTTTTCTGCCCAACTGCCAAGCATTTGTGTTCTGAAGTCCCAAGCTGCTTATCATGGCTCGCACAGCCCTACATCATCCGGTAGTTACCTGCCTCCTCAACCTCACTGCCCATCACTGGTCCCCACTCTCTCTACTGACTACACTGGGCTTCATTGCTCAAATGTCCCAAATAAATTTCACATCAAGCATCTTCACATTTTTTCTCTCTACGTGGTAAGCTCTTACCCCAATTCTCCTAAGAGCTGGGTACCCCCTGTTGTTCAGATCTTAGCTATAATATAAACCCCTCAAAAAATCTTTGACAACCCTATCTAAACCAGCCCCCCACCCCAAACCCTCTGTCTTCTCACACTGCACTGCTGCTCTTGGCACTCATCATCACCTGGCCGTATGTTACACATGAGTTTTTATACTGTAATCTGTCTTCCCAAATGGAAATGGAAGCTCTATAAGGGAGGAGCACGATTCCACTCTGTTCACATCTGTGCACTCAGTGTCTAGAGCACTGCCTAGAAAATGGTAGGTCTATAATAAATAGTTAATAAAAGAAGAAAATGTCAGAAGCTGTTTAACAGAAACTGGAGGAAAAAAATGAAGAACTGTCAGGATAACTGGAACTGGAAAGAGGTCACAGAAAACATCCCTCTGTTCAATTAGAGAGTTTTTATTAGAGACAGAACATCTCTAACCCAATTATGTTTGCAGGAATCTAACTGATTTTTAAATACTGTTAAAAAGGCACAAACACTGTAGAGAATGTCAAACTTCTGACAGGAAAATGAGTTGAAATTTGTCAGGAATATGTAATGAGCATCTTCTGCCTCAGTAGGCTATGATTAATAGATTGCATCTTAGAACTAATACGTTTAAGAAATGCATATGGAATTTGGTAGTTTATAGTTATCTTTGTAAATTCATGTTATATGGTATTTATTCCTTATTAAGTATTAATATCCATGAATTATTTATGATTTAAAATCTTATCCCTTATAACCTAAAATATTCATCTATTTTCTCAAACAGTTCATATTTAATTTGTTCATTTACACAGTTTTCAAGCTGCTCAGGCATTGCAAAACTAAATAACTGGCATCTTTTCTCACAAATGGGACAACAAGGAATAAAGTAAAAGCTCTTAATAAGAGTTTATATAGCAACCATGTCCCAGAACATCACCTATTTAAATTCTCTTTACAAAGCTCTGCCACCACCCCAAAAGAGCAGATAACAATCCATCATGTGCTGCTGCTTTCTCTCTAAATAAATGAAGCAGAAGTGGATAAGTGACCCCAAATAGGTCAATACATATGGTCTTTGTTATAATTCTGAGATGGTCTTCAAAAACCCCAGTAAGAGAACTTCCACTTCCAGGAATAAAACAGATGTACTTTTCCATGTTCCTTCCACTAAATACAACGAGAAACCCTAAATATTATACATAAAATTAACAAAACAATTCTGAAAGGTGGAAAGGCAGAGACAGAGCATCTAGAGTCCTTGGGACTCAGGGACCACCAAGTGCTGAGTTACCTGGGTTTTCTTTTCCCAAACCTAGTGCTGGAGAAGACAGCAACTTTGAAAACCAACAGGACTAGATACTAGCCTCAACAAAAAGCTCTCTTTGGTTAAAAGAACAGGAAAAGGGCAGCCTAACAAGACAGATGATTTTTTGATAACTACCCTGCCCCAACCAAACACTATTAAAAATAAACTGTGGCTCAGTGAGAAGCTGATACTTCCAATATTATATAAGGTACCCAAAGGCCTTACCCAATGTAGTATGAGAGAAGATTGAGTAGGTTGCCAGGACACTTACCTCTCCTGGGTGATAATAAACTGCTTTACTTCAGTGTCAAGATGCTCACCACTGCCTATAAGGAGGACATTTCTCCCCGTGGTATCAGTGGAAGGCACATGAGGAGCAGTAATGAGGTACTGCTATGCTTCCCAGTTAAGGAGAAATCACTGGAGGCCTACAGGAGAGCCAGATACCACACCTCTAACCAGCAGTAGTAAGGAGCTAACCATCCCTGCAAATGTCAGTGATGGCTGAGTGTGGAACATGGCCTTTGAAGAGACACTCCTCCTTCAGATGAAGCCAACTAAAACAGAAGGTTTAAACAAGATCCAGAACCTCACAGTAAAATACCCCAATGTCATGTTAATTGAAAAATCACATGAAGAAACAGGAAGATCTCAAACTGAATGAAAACAGCAGTCAATAGATACCTATACTCAGATAACAGATGTGTTAGGATTTTCTGCCATTTTAAAGAAGCCATCACAAAAATGCTCTAAGAAACAAATACAAACACACCTGACAGAAATGAAAAATAAAAAGTGCCAGCAAATAAGTAAAAGATATAAAGAACCAAATGGAAATTTTAGAACTAAAAACTATAATAATCAAAATTTGAAACTCAGTGAATGGATCCAACAGTAGAATGGAGGATGAGGGAAAGAATGGAAAACAGAATAGAAATTATCCAATCTGTATAGAAGAAAACATATTTTAAAAATATTAATAGGGCCTCAGGGACTTGTGGAACTATAATAAAAGATCTACTATTTATATCCATGTATGGAGAGGAGAGAAGAAAGAGTTAGGCTCAAAAAGTATTCAGAGAACTAATACCTGAAAACTTCCAAAGTTAGCAAAAGACTTAAATCTGCAGGTTCAAGAAACTGAGTGAGCCACAGACAGGGTGAAACAGAAATGTCCTCACTGAGGCACACTGTAGCCTGCTTTCTAAAAAAGCAGGCAGAAAGAAACATTATCTTATCTATAGGGAAAAACAATTCAAACAACAATACATTTCTCATCTGAAACCATGGATTTCAGAAAAAATGGCAACATTTCTTTAATGCTTAAAGAAAACTATCAACCCAGAATTTTACATCTAGTGAAAACATCCTTCAAATTATGAAAGGGAAATAAGACATTCTCAAATAAAGAAAAACTAAGAAAAGTTGTTGCAGGAAGAACTAGCCTGAAAGAACAGCTAAAGGAAATTCCCTAAAGAAATAGAAATGATAAAAGAATGAACCTTGGAACTTGAAGAATGAAGAAAGAGCATGGGAAGCAAAAACATGGGTAAATAGAATGAACATTTCCTTCTTCTAGTTATCTAAATTATGTTTGATAGTAGAAGCAAAAATAATAACACTGTATGATGTTCTAAATATGCAGAGGAAATGTTTATAATATTAAATGTTGGGAAAATAAAGAGACATAAATATAAGTAATATTTCCACACTTTGCTGGAACTAGTGAAGTGCTGGCACCAGTAGACTGCAATAAGTTATGTATACATTAGGTACTCCTTACAGCACACTATGAATAGGCCTATTCAAAGAGAGATAGTCAAAAACAAAAAAGACAAATCAAAATGGAATTTTTAAAAATGTCCAAGTAACCCACAGGAAAGCAGAAAAAAGAAAATAGCAAAAACACAAACAAAAACTAATATGGCAAGCAACAAGCATATCAATACATACATTAAGTGTAAATTGTCTAAATACACTAATTAACATATAGATATTGACAGGGTGAACTTAAAAACACAATTCAACAATATGCTATCTACAAGAAATTCACTTCAAATATGATGACATAGGCAAAAGTAAAAGAATGGAAAAAGATATGTCATGCAAACATAACTCAAAGGAAAGAAGCAGTGGCTATATTTTTCTCACATAAAGTAAACTTCAGAGCAAAGAAGATTTTCAGATGGGGGAGGTACATTATGTAATGATAAAAGGGTCAATTAACCAAGAAGATATAATAACTCTACATGTGTTTGCAACAAACAATAAAAATGCAAAATATGGAAAACAAAACTGAAAGAACTGAAAGGAGAAATAAACTCACAATTATAGGTAGAGACTTCACTCCTTTCTCAATAATTGATAGAGAAAAGAGAAGATCAACAAAGATATAGAAGAATTCAACATCAGCATCAACCAACAAGATAATGCAGCTCCCAACAATTGAATACTCATTATTTTCAAGCACACATGGAATGTGTATTAGGATAGAGCATATCCTGGCCCAGAAAACAAGCCAACAAATTTAAAAGAATTGAAATCATACAGAATATGCTCTTGATCACAGTAGAATGAAACTAGAAGTAACAGATAGATAACAAGGAAATCTCAGAACACTTGGTAACAAAACTGCGTACTTCTAAATAATCAGTGAGTCAAGAGGAAATTTCATGGGATATAAAAAGATACATTGAACTGAATTAAAATGAAAATGCAATATATTAAAAATTGTGGGATGCTATGAAAGCAGTGCTGAGAAGGAAAGTTATAGTATTAAAGGCATATGTTAGAAATGAGAGTGCTCGCTTTGGCAGCACATATACTAAAATTGGAACGATACAGAGATTAGCATGGCCCCTGCACAAGGATGACATGCAAATTCGTGAAGCATTCCATATTTTTAAGTAATAATAAAGGAAACAGTTTTCAGAACCACGAAAAAAGAAATGAGAAAATGTCTCAAGTCAGTAATCAAAGCTCCCAGATCAAGGGCCTTAAAAAAGCAAATTAAGCCCTAAGAATAACAAAGGAAGTAATAAATGGCATAAATCAAGATAAATGAGCAGAAAAATATGATAAAGTAAATCAATGTAAGAACTGGTTTTCTGAAAACAAAAATATTGACAAACCTCTAGTAAGACTTAAAAAAAGGAGAAAAGACACAAATTACCAACATTGGGAAGAGAGCCCAGAGTATCACTAAAACCTTGTAGACATCAAAAGAATACGTGACTATTATGAATAATTCTATATATACAAGTTTGACAATTTAGAAAGAATGGACCAACTTCTTATAAAACACAAACTACCACAACTCAGTATGAAATAATTTTTATAGTTCTGTAACTATTAAATAAATTGAATTCTTAATTTTAAAGCTCCCAAAAAAGAAATTTTAGTGTAAAACTCTACCAAACATTTGAAGAATTATATAATCTCATCCAGAAAATAGAGGAGAAAGCTTTCCATCCTTGAAAACTAGCACTTTATAACACCAAACAAAAAAAAAATACAAAAAATGAAAACTACAGACCGTTACCCATTATGAATATTAATACAAAAATTCTTAACATAAACAACTAGATTTCAGTAATAAAAGAATCATCCATCATGACCAAGTGGGAATTATTCCAGTGATGCGAGTCTGGTTCAGTATTCAAAATTATCAATTATTATAATGCATTAGCCTAAAGAAGAAAAAGCATATGATCATATCAATTGATGTAGAAAAGGCATTTGGCAAACTTTACCATCCATTCATTATAAAAACTTCCAAGAATAGAGGGGAACTTCCTCAACTTGATAGAGCATCTATGAAACACCTACAGCTAACATTATACTTCATGGTGAAAGACAGGAATAAGACAAAAGATGCCCACTTCCATCATTCTAGTTCTGCATAGTGCTGCAAGTCTATCTAGTGCAATAAGGCATGAAATGGAAATAAAAGGCATACAGATTGGAAAGGGAGAAATAAAACTGTCCCTATATGCAAATGACATGATTGTCTATGCAGAAATTCCCAGTAAATCGCCAAAAAAAAAAAAAATACACTCCTACACAAAAGAAGTGAGTTTAGCATGGTCACAGGATATAAAGTTGCAAAAACCAATTGCAGTTTCATAAACTAGCAATGAATACAAGGACACCAAAATTTAAAATGCAATATTTCAAGCACTCAAAAATACAAATAAATCTAATCAAACATACACAGGACTTGTATGCTGAAAACTACAAAACACTGATGAAAGAAATTAAAGCCCCAAATAACTAGAGATATATCTCATGTTCATGGATTAGAAGACTACATATTAAAGATGTCAATTCTCTCCAAATTGATACACAAATTTAATTTTTAATGCAGTTCCTATCAAAATCCCAGCAAGAATATTATAGCTACAAGCAAAATTATTAGAAAATATATAAGAAAAGGAAAAGAATATAGAATATCTGAAAAATTGTTTGAAAAAGAATGAAGTGGGGGAATCAGCTTATTCAGTTCAAAGAATTATTATATATCTATAATAATCAAGGGTATTGGGAGAGAGAGAAAGTCACCTAGATAATGGAATAAAATAAAGAACACAGAAGTAGTCCCATACAATATGCCCAACTTATTGACAAAGGTGCAAAAACAATTCAATGGAGAAAAGAGCCTTTTGAACAAATATTCCTAAAACAACTGGGCTTCTATAGACAAAACATGAACCTCTTCCTAAGTCCCATACCTTATATAAAAATTACTCAAATTGAATTGCAAATGTAAAACTATAAACTTTTAGAAAAAAATAGAAAACCTTTGGGGTCCAGGACTAGACGAAGAGTTTTTCCACTTGACATCAAAATCACTACCTATGAATGGAAAATTTTATAAATGAGATTTCATGAAAATTAAAAATTTTACTCTGTGAAAAATCTATTAACAGAATGAAAAAATCTATAAAGTGGGTGAAAATATTTGCAAGCCAGATGGCTAACGAAGGACCAGGTACCTAGAATATATAAAGAACTCTCAGAACTCAACTGTAAAAAATGTAGTTGAAACAAAAGATATGAACAAACATTTCACTGGAAAGGATATACAGATGAAAAACAGTGATAGCACCAAAAACTGGCAAGAATGTGGAGAAACCAAACCACTCACATCTTTTTAGTGTGAATGTAAAATGTTGCAGCTACTGTAGACAATAGTTTAGCAGTTTCTTAAAACCAAATATGCAACCACTTTACAACCCAGCAATAGTGTGACTGAACATTTATCTTCAGAGAAATAAAAGCTTATGTTCACAGAAACACCTATAAAATGATATGTATAACAGCTTTATTTGTAATAGCCAAAAAAAGTGGAAATGTTTTCAACAGTAACTGGTTAAACTGGAGTCCATCGGTAACACAGGATACCACTCCACAATGAAAAGAAACAAACTGGATACACACAAATCCTGGATGTGGCTCCACAGATTTATGCAGAGTGGAAAAAGCCAATTCCAGAGGGTTACATTGTGCAAGATTCCATTTGTGCACTGTTCTTGAAAGGACAAGATTACAATAGAGAACAGATTAGTGGTTGCTTGGTGATAAGGAAGGAGAAGAAATAGGAGGAAGTAGGTATAGCTATAAAATGGCAACACAGAGAATCCTTCTGATTCTGTAAATATTCTGTATCTTGACTATGTCAATGTCAGTAGCCTGATTATAATATTGTACTATTACCATTGGTGGAAATTGAGTAGAGAACCATGGGATCATTCTGTATTATTTCTTACAACTACGTGTGAATCTACATTTATCTCAAAATAAAAAGTTTAATTCTTAAAAAAAAAAACCAGCAAGTCTTTGTTGGGAGCTGTACCTGAAAGATGACTTGAAGTGGAGTTTGAGCGGTGATGTTGGGACAGGTAAAGCAGGAAAAGCCCTTAGAAGTGAGTGATTAGAGAATGAAGTAACTATGACAGGCAAGAACGAGCAACTAAGGAAAGAGACTTCTCAAGAGAGGGCTGCCCTGATGCTTGCTGGCAACTGAATTCTTGGTCCACACCATTGGAAGCCTTCCCACCTTTAAGATTTGTAAGATACATGCCTGAGTCCTTCCAGTTAAAGTTTATTGGGCTTAGGCTAGTGTGTATAGGTTCTATTTCTTGCTACCAAACGATTCCTAAACATGACAGCCATGTTCACAATCACCTCCACTCTCAAAACAAAATGGAATGTGAAAAAAAAAAATGTATAGCATACATCACAGGTAGATTTCCTTTGGTTTCAGTTCCACCAGGGAACTAATTTTTTAAGGCTAATGTGAGATAGAAAATTGTGGAAATATTTATAATATTGCCAGTGTTGATTACAATTACAAACATGAACCTGCCAAAATTGATTAACCTACATTAACTTATACATAACTCTATAATGGCATTGAGATAACCCATTTCAGTGGGGAAAATTCCTTAAATTGTTTTGCCAGTAGTTGAACCAAGCTGTTCTGATCCTACCTCACTTTTCCTCTTTAAATTAGCTTGTGTTCAATAATTAGAGGGAAAAAAGGAGAACATTTCAGAGAAACAGGATTGTTTGGAGGGAATCTGTTTTTCAAGCTGGATATATAAACAGTGATCAGTTTATATTATTGAGCTGTGAAGACCATGGGCGAAACCTCATTTGTATGTTCTTACACATAGACTCATTTTTATGCTCTTCATAGGGCCAACAATTAAAAAAGATGATTGATTCCTTCTTAGAAAGCAGAGGAATGACTCCGTTCTAAAAACAATCCTCTCAAAAGCACTTGTCTTAGCTTTATTTATAATAGCAATTACCTTTCTATCTCATAAAATTCAGATATGCAAAAAGTAGTAGTAACTTTCAAAACACAATTATTAGAGTGAGGAGCACTCACCCACCTATTTATCCACTTATTTATCTATTCAACACAAGATGATACACCATGTTACACACTGAACTGGATCTGTAACACACAGACACAATCCTTAGGACCCTCACAGACAGTGGGGAACAGCATCTAATATAAGCATATTCTGGGATATGCAAAGGAAAACAGTAGAAATTAGTCCATTCAGAGTAAAACTAGTGAGGCTGTATTTAGGACTTTGTGTGTAAATCTAAACACATTATGAAAATAATCATGAAGCTTCAGATGACCTATCTCATAGCTTGTTGTGTAACAGCTAAAAGAAAGCTGGAGCCTTTAAGAAAGTGTCAGGCAGCTGCATGCAAGAGAATGAAACTGGATTAATGTCTAACTTCATACACAATAATAAACTCGAAATGGATTAAAGACTTAAATATAAGACATGAAACCATAAAACTCTTAGAAGAAAATATAGGCAAAAATCTCCTGAACATAAACATGAGCAATTATTTTTCAGACACATCTTCTCCTGGGGCAAAGGAAACAAAAGCAAAAATGAACAAGAGGGACTATATCAAATGAAAAACTTCTGCACAGCAAAGGACACTGTCAGCAGAACAAAAAGACAACCTAGAGTATGGGAGAAAATATCCATGAATAATTTGTCCAATAAGAAGTTAACATCCAAAATATATAAAGAACTCATATGCCTCAACACTAAAAAAAAAATAATAACTCAATTAAAAAATGGGCAGAGGACCTGAATAGACATTTTTCCAAAGAAGAAATGCAGATGGCCAACAGGCACATGGAAAGATGCTCCACATCACCAATCAACAGAAGTATGCAAATCAAAACTACAGCGAGTTATTATCTCATCTCACACCAGTTAGAATGGCCACTATTCAAAAGACAAGAAATACAAGTGTTGGTAAGGGTGTGGAGAAAAGGGAACCCTCCTACACTGTTGGTGGGAATGGAAATTGGTGAAGTCACTGTGGAAAGTAGTACAGAGGTTTCTCAAAAAACTAAAAAT